AGTCAATGACATTTGGTTCGAAAATCGCGTCTATAGGATGTGTCAATCGAGAGAAGAGAATCTATTAATAACCAATTCCGCAGACATTTGTATTTATGCGCATTTAATTAGCAGAACGTATGGGTCGCAGTTTATTTTAATGGTTGATTTCTTGAATCTGAAAAAAATCACCTTTTTTCTGTAAGGCCTTGAGCAGCTCATTCGAATCGAAGGGCGTGGTGTGGGAAAAGGGATTGAAATTACTCATTTCCATCGGTGTGGTAGGAGCAAAAGTGTGAAAGTCTCGCGCTTCAGTTGAAATGCCCGGAGTATAGGTGTTATAATTGGACGTTTCCATTGGTGTGTTTTGATTGTAAGAAATCTATGACCGGTGGTATTTCATTAGGAGATTAATTCGAAATTAGTCGACTATCGAAGTAAATTGCTAGAATAAGAAACGTACCGACGTGTAAGAAGAATTTTGCGTGAAGTAATCTTGAGTCGCGTCCGGATCCAAAGGAGAATCATACTGCATCTTGTTTCTTAACAAATATGAATGATTCGAAGTTTTACAATGCGATTCTTTGACGCATTTCCAGTTTTTTGTTTTCACGAAGTCAAGTGGCACCCAGCCAATCATTTTACATCTATGTTCAACCAGTAAAATTTCGATCTCAATTTGACTATAAGAAATATCTGAAAAAAAATTTTTGTTTCCTTCTATTCATCGTTGCGTTAATTATGGGTAGGTGGTTAGAATCGTCTGAAAGAGGTTTTTGCTGATGCTAATGATTATTTTTTTTTCGATATTATAACAGGCAAAGGAAAACCCAGAGGTTTGCAAAGTGCACGTAAATTGCGCACACATCGCCGTGAAGAACGGTGGGCAGACAAGGCTTATAAGAAAAGAGCCTTGGGTACTGCCTATAAATCTTCTCCATTCGGTGGATCCTCACACGCCAAGGGAATCGTTCTCGAGAAAATGTATTTAATCGACCTATTTATAAAACATAATTTTGGATCCTTACACACATTAACATGAACTACTCTTTGTCTTGCAGTGGTGTAGAAGCCAAGCAACCGAATTCTGCTATTCGAAAATGTGTTCGTGTTCAATTGATCAAAAATGGTAAAAAGGTTACCGCATTCGTTCCTAACGACGGTTGCTTGAATTATGTGGAAGAGAATGACGAAGTATTACTTGCCGGTTTTGGTCGTAAAGGGCGTGCTGTAAGTAATAGTCGTAAATTTCTACGTTGGTTTGACTGATTTGTCAATTTCTCATGAACATTTTTATAGATTGGTGATATTCCTGGTGTCCGTTTCAAAGTGGTTAAAGTCTCTGGGGTTTCGCTCCTTGCACTGTGAGTTTTTTTTTCCTTGGTGATCGATGATGAATCACGCATCTTTCTGACTGTGCTTGCATTTACAGGTATAAAGAAAAAAGAGAAAAACCTCGATCTTGATTGACGTGGTTTTTTTTTTTCAATTCTATGCTCAATAAAGACCTATCGTTCTATTCAGGTTTCAATAGGCAATGCAAGTTAATAAAATTTTTTAATTTCCTATCGCAAAACATATGAATCTGACTCTTCCTTTATCAATTTAATTAACTCGATTGCCTCTAGGTAATCCTTTTCAAAATTCTATTTTTATCACGTGATTAGATGTGCATGATTTGTTTCAATAAAAAATGACAAAGCCTTCATGTTTAAACGAATAATATTCTAATTGTGTTTTGTTTAAAAAAAAACCCCCTCTGTAAAAAAAAGTTTGCTTTCTTTAAAAAAAATAAATAACATTTTTAATTAACTTTTTGTTTAATTGAATTTATTGTAAATTTTTTATTTTCTTTTAATAATTAATTTATATTATATACAGGTAGTTGCACCATAAATTGATCAAATGCTTTATTGAAATTTATAAATAATTTATGTGAATTAAAAAATATTATTTTTATGGATTTATATCATAATTTATATTTTAAAGTATATTATTAAAAAAAAAAATCAATCAATGAAAATAGTTAAAAAAATAATTTCACAATTTTAAAGATACATTTAATTTTATTTAAAATCAAAATAATTGTTTTTCAGTTTAATTTCTTGCCCTATTTTTTATTTTAAACAAATTATAATAATAACAGATAATAATAATAAATTTAATTATAATAATTGATAATATTTATAATTTAGATGTGAATAAAAATTGGGTTTTATTTGGAGTTTTATTTTTTTTTCGAAAATTTTTAAAAAAATAATTTATCATTGTATTGCATATCATTCTAATTTATTAAATTTATTTAACCTATTTTTTTTTTTACATTTAGTTTGAAGGAAGCACAAATTTTTTCGTGTCACGTATAATGGGTTCTGTGATACCAGCTTGTTTTCTTTTTATGCGAAATAAAATATAATTCTTCAAAACATAAAAGATTTGAAATAATTATGCTCGACAAGCATTACAAAAAGGCTAAGGCCTACTTAGAAAATGCTGGTACTAAGAAGCAAAAAATATGGAGCGACGTATCGCCAGGCATTTATCGAACCTAAACTTTCAAAAAACCCTTGCAAACAGAAAACATAGAAAACTTTTTGACCAGTCCAAATGAATAATTAATTCTTTTATGGAGATAACGACGTCGACCTTTTCAACAAAACTAGAATTTTTTACACAAGATCTGCTGGTGAAATCCGAGCCACATTCGAAGATAGACGATATTCTCAGCACACAGGATTTAGTAGTATAATGCATCACTTGAAATCTAACGACAATACTCTGGAACAAAAGCAAAATTTAATAGATTTAGCTCAGGAGACTATTGAACTATTTGTCAGAGGAAAAATTAGAAAGAAAGGATGATTCAGGAAATCATTGCATTGGCATCTATATTTAATAAAAAAATTCACGAGGAATTATTAGAGCAATGTATTCAGGCTATTAACAGTACAACACTACAACATGTGAGTTAGCACCGGAATTTTAGTGACTATATTAAGAATTTACATACTCATATAGAAGATTTGCATAAGCAAAAGGAGACCGAACTCTGCGAACTATTACAAGCAATCAGCGGGTAGGGGTTAAAGGTAGTAGTCATGAAAAACTGCATGCGCCTTTGTATCAACAGCTTAAAGATCTAAAAGACAATCCAGCGTTAAGATTGTCATGCTCTTTACGCTGTCAGGCATTGTTACATATCCCGAATGATGAAAGATTATGACAAGAAGTTGTACGTCGAAACTTTTAAGTAGTTATTGGACAATGAACTTAGATAATGCGATTAGAAATTTAGACCCAAGTAAATTACTAGATACTTTAAAGATTTTAACGAGGCATTTGAAAGAGTTGTGAGATTCTAAGTCACGTTGGGAATTAAAAGAAGGTGTATAAGATATTCGTCAAGGAATGAGATTTAGACAAACAAGACGGTAGTATTTAGCTCTAATATTCATGGATATCTTACTTCAAGAAAATCGGATGGTAATACTTGAGCAGCTTGTTCATCAGAATCCTTATAATAAGAATAATAGTTTTTAATAGGCTTGTTTCAACGCTTAGGACAGATTTCCTGTATACAACGAGATTTAAAAACACAACAGGGGGCGATCGGTTTTTGGGTGATCTTTATCAGAATGAAGCCCAACCATGTAATATTAAGTTTGATTATTCTGTTCCATATTCTTGAAATCAGAGTGTATTTTGTAAGCTTTTTGACGTGGGGTCAACACATTCGGAAATTAAAAAATGAGTGTTTGCAATCTTGCGGCAGTTAGCGAATCAAGACGATGAAAATTTAAAAAACTATGCAAAAGCGATGCTTAATCAATTAGCACCTAATGAAATCACTTATAGACGTAACGTATACGTGCTTCATGTATGGTGTTCTATCGAGCAATCTAATTTCAATTCTAGATTGTTAATTAAAGCTTGTCTGAAATTATCAGAGTTTAGCATCGAATGCCACAGAATTCTAGTGCCATTAGACAAGATTAAAAAATAATATTTAATGAACACAACAGGGCAAAGAAATTAAAATGCATTAGGACTGTATTTGCCACCAATAGAAAAGTGGTTCCTAAATGCCACGGGTTCCTTTTATTTAGAGGCTGAGGCTAAAGCTTTCTTAACTTCAGAAAAAAATGATACCATTACTCTCGGGTGAAGTTATATTGGGCGGATATGATGAAATCAAGGACCGTTGGTTAAATTTTTACGATAGAAATAAACTCTAAGAATGGATTGCCAATGTTATCAATTTGCCATTTGCTAATGGAAATAAAATTTATTTTTATGATGTCGAGACGTTAGATATTAAACATGCTTTTGAGGGACACAACAATAATGTTAATAGTGTGGTCTTCTCTTCGGATGGTACCAATTGGCATCGGGCAGCAGAGATACGACGGTGCGGCTGGGGTCTCTCGAGAATTTAGATCAGAATCCACGCATTCTAGAGGGATATACTAATTATGTTAAATATATGCCATTCTTTCCTGATGGCATCGGGCATCAATGAAAAAACGGAGCAGCTGTGGTCTCCTAAGAATTCAAATCAGAATCCACAGATTCTAAAAGGATATACTTGGAATGTTAATAGTTCGATATTCTCACTAGATAGTACCCAACTGGCATCGGGCAGTGAAGACAAGACGGTGCGGCTATAGTCTCTCGAATAATAATCCACGAATCCTAGAAGGACATACTAGTAGTATTATGGGAATGGTATTCTCTCCGGATGGCATTATCGATCAGTGAAGAAAAAATGGTGCGGTTGTGATCACTCGAGAATTTAGATTAGAATCCACATATTCTAGAGAACATACTCATGAGGTTAATAGTGTGGAATTCTCACTTGATGGCACTCAACTGGCATCAGGTAGCTTTGACAAGACAGTGCGGCTGTAGTCCTTGAGAATTTAGATCAGAGTACACACATTCAAAAGGGACAAACTAGTTATATTAAATGTGTAGCCTTCTCTCCTGATGGTACCCCATTAGCACCAGGTAATGAGAAAATATGGTGCAACTGTGGTCTCTTGAGAATTTAGATTAGAATCCACACATTCTAAAAGGATATGCTTGGAATGATAATAGTTTGATCTTCTCACTAGATGGTACCCAACTGGCATTGAGCAATGAAGACAAGACGGTGTGCCTGTGGTCTACGGTAATGGATAATTGCCTAGCCATTATATAGAGTATTTCCAGAAAAATTTATAGTCTCGCTTGAAAGAAAACAAAAACGAAGGACCTTTTATTAACAGGAATTCAGCGGGAGTTATTGGCTTGTGAAACGTAGAAAGAATAAATGATAAAATATCCCGAGTTACTTTACATTGGACCTCACGTCAGGATATATTGTATTATGGATTTCCAAAGCATTTATTCAAAACGTAAAAGGGTTTGAGTTTAATGAATATGTATCTTTTAAAGAAAAGGGGTGTTACTGAAGACTTAGCAGTTTGTTTTTAATGAAAATGATAAAGCTTAAGGTTGGATATTTTAAATCATCATTGTTCGAAGCAAAGCGTAGAACTTAAAGGGAGATAATGATCAGAAAAGTGGTCATTTCCGCGTTTTTAATGTCCGATTTCTATATAAAAAATAAAAAATTTGAAATTATCTAAATAGATTCAAGATAAATATTATTATATTTTAAATTATAATATTAAACCCATCAACTCGCCTTACCCAATCTCATAATACTTACTTAATCTTACTCTTGTTCGATCAGCGTACCAGACCCAAAACTTCGTACTTCGCCAATAGTGTTACGATGATCACACATTTCAAAATCCCTAACCTTTTTATTTTCATTATTTCCTTTATTTCTTTTATCTGCGTGTCAATATTAGTAAAATGAAAGAATGGAACTCAGACCGATAAAATCTCATATTTACAGTACCTAATTTGCCTTGCTCAATAAATTCGCCAAATCCCACAAACTTGCCAAATCATTCCCCTTGTATACTTATCTGAACCTCTGCCCGAAAGTACCGTAAATTCAAAGATTGCGTCGTGACCACGTCACCAACCCTGACCCGCAATAATAGATCAATTCTCTTAGTAATTAATCGCCTGGCAAGGAAGATTACACCTTCTAATAAAAGACGTATGGATCATATTTTCCAAACATTCCTTGAAGAATCACCCTAAATAAATTCAGATAGTATAAGTTTAGCATACGGCCAGATTTTATAACAAAGGATAAAGTACTGTAGTAATAAGCATCTAGCCTAAATACTTTACTACGGTTTGAATATTTAAAATATTTTTAATAGAACTTACTATATAATTCGCAATTCGACCTGATACTGTAATCTGTAGGTCTAAAATTGATCTGACTTACCATCGAGTCATATGGTACCAGGTTAAACCATTCGAAACACTACCCATTCATTTGTTAAAGACAATGTTTATATACGCTGAAACTTCCATTAATTATGATTAAGTCACATTAAGT